CTAATTTTTAATAAGAAATTTATTTATTTTCTCGACTTATGTACAGAATGAATTTCAGCTAAAGGCATTTTAGAACTTACGAGCACATATCAATGAAGTGTGAATAAGAAAATGCAAATGTCAAAAGGAAGCAAATGATGACGTTAGATGAGAATCTAAACCCAAAGGAAGGAGCTTGCGTATGAAATCCTGCGAGGAAAAAGGAAGTTACAGAAGAAGAGATGGTTTTCAGCATAAGAATGAGAAAGAAGTTGTAAAAAATCGCACTTTCCTGTCGAGCCCATTCAAGTTTGCCTTTTATAAATATCTAATCTGAAAACCATTCAAAAGAACATAACTTTCTTAAATACATGATTCGCATTTTCGTTGAATTTTCTTTTTACCGAGACCAATAGACGTTTTATAGGCCAAGATCAACTGTAGTCAAAAAAAGTCCCAGGCAAAGTCGTCAACCAAAAGTCTTACAAATTATTTGCAGAGAGTTAGTTTTCAAGTTCATCAAAAGTAAATTAAAATAAAAAAATATCAAAACACACGTTTAAATATTCTGACCAAAATTACTATAAGAAAATTTATCTAAATATTTTGAATTAAATGTCAAATTTTGTGTTAAAAATTATTTTGTGAAGAAATGTTAATTTAAATAATTTTTCACGGAAATTTGTCAATTTTAAAGAAAAATAATTAAAAAAAAAAAAGATTTATCTTTGTACTAAATTTTGTCAAAAATATTAAAAAAAAATATTAATATAGGATCTAAACATTTTTAATGATATTTTTTTAATCTACTACTATTGCCAAAAACTGTAAAAATGACACAAAAGTGCCTTAAAAAGGCCAGAAAAAGGCCATAAAGAGTTTAAATATATTCTTTTCCCGGCGTTAAAAATAGTGAGTCCCAAATTCCATTTTCCAGAGAATAAAAAAATTCCAATAATAAGATTCTGACTAAGATGAAAAAGAATTATCATATTGGACAGCTAAATCCCTTTCGTTCATGAAACAATATCCATGGTTAAAATTTGTAATATTTTAGGGCAATTTTTTATCAATAACTTTAAATTTTAGATCATTTTATAATTTAGGATAAAATTTAATCAGATAGATGACAATTTTTGGACTTTTCACCGGTCTCCAAATTTGAATTATTCCTGCATTTTTATTTTGACCCTCTTTTTACAATGTTATAATGAATAGGAAAAAATAGTCTTGACCACTCTGACCAGTTTGTTAATTTGTGTTTTTTAAGTGTCAGTTCAGCAAATGACGATAAGATGTTTTCACTTTCAAGATAGTCAAAACTGGGCTGAGGGGCACTTAGAACTTTGGTGCGGTCTCGCACCAATAAGCGCCGCGTCTTTCTTCGTTTAGCAGTCCATTAACCCACATAAGGTTGCAAACAAGCAGCATGAGAGCAATTAGATAACGCCCGTTACCCCCTGCGTGAGTGAAAGCAACGCTTGCTTATGTATTTTTAAACCCCACAGCTGATTAACGGGAACTGGAGTAAATTTCGTCCGGCGTCGCGATGAACGCGCTAAATAAGTCAGCGAATTAGCGCGCGCTTGAAAAGAAGAAGTCTTAATTTTTTCGCAACACTTGGCACCAGACAAAATACATTAATGGGCAAAACTCTCGCTTTTTGTGTCGGATCGGGAAGCGTGCGGGCTGCGTCCACCGGCGCGGGTGTCGATTTTCAGCACATTTTCAGCGAATGAACGAGGACAATGAATGAAGTGCGCCAGGCCAACAGACCAGAAGAGACAGACGATTTGAAGACAAAAAGATCAAATTCAAGATGCAACCAGAGCCGCACTGGCCATTTGAGCTGCAGGCGAATCTGCAAAGGCGGAAAATGCATTTTTAGCTTGACGAACAATTTATAAATTGCAATTTTGGCGAGAGTAAATTTCAGAAAAATTTATGGCTGCGAAATTAAATATTATATTATTCTGATCAGCATAACCCACAAGTTGACTCATAATTCACACTTCACACAGAAATCGTCGAGTTTAAATTTAACTCCAATGCAAATGTCAAAAGGAAGCAAATTATGGCGTGTTTGATGAGATCCCATCCCATGTATGAAGCCAAAGGAGGGAGCTTGCTTCGTTAGGAAATGATGACAGGATGTTTTACAAATAAATATGAGAAAATGTTAAGATATTTAAAAAAAAATAATAATAAATGCACCACCGAAGATTTATATATTTGTTACATTAACTACACTGAAAATCCTTAGTCCCGTCGCAGCACTAGTTAGTTCCGTGACTGCACTAACAGTGCTGCGACGGGACTAAGGATTTTCAGTGTAGAAAAATCAAAACGTATCACAAAATTAATAATAATAATATGAAAAAAAATTATGTTAAATTTATTATATAAATTAAATAAGCAAATAAAAATTATCATAACCACTTTTTATATTTAAATTTATATAAACCTGCACGTTTTATTTTATTTTTCACAACTTTTGAATCTTAAATTAAAGGATGAAGCAAACAATTTCTGGCCGATTTGTGAGAGAATAAAAAAATTCCAATAAGATTGTGACTAAGAGGAAAAATTATTATATTTACAGCTAAATCTCTTTTGTTCATGAAACAATTTCCACAATTTTGAAAGAAAAATCACGGTTAAAAATTTTATTATTTTAGAGCAATTTTTTATCAATAATTTTAAATGCAGCTCAAGACTCATAATTATTTTTTTTAAATCTTCTTAAAGGTGCGGAGGGGCTACTTTTCGTAAATGAATTATTGTGCCAGAAAGTCCATTTTCCGGTTGCCAAAATTTAATAATATAGGAGTTTCAAAAAGTCCAGCATGCATTTAAAAAGTATGGTAAGTCTCGGAATAAAAAAAAAAAACACTACAATTCAACCACAGTCACCAGATATTCTAATAAACATTAAAGTCTTTGTTTTTGCCTGCAAATCGTCAATCCTTTTATCAGAGTCTTCCGGCTTTAGAAAGAATAACGATTTGAGGTCACTGTAAGGGTTATCAGTTGCTCTGTGGCAAAGATCTTGACCCAGCGTGTTGCGCTTGTATAGTTTATATTTTTTTTTCAAAAAATTTTGCTTATAAATGAGATGATAATCTCCAGATTTGGCGATACCGGAAGTATCTCTGAAGGTCAATTCAATATAATCAATCGCAATCGAGAAAGAGAGTCAATTAAAGGTGGCGCAAATTTCTCGCAGGTGCGCGATATATTTAGTAGCGCAAGTGCTCGTTGCAGGTGCATCTTAATATCGCGTAATTTTAATTAGTAAAGCAAGTCATGCACGGCTAGTCAACGGGGCTGTCCACACGAGCACTTGTGAAAGAATCAAAATTAATAAAACATGGGACGCGCATAAACAACTTCATTTGAATCGCACGCGTATAAGTAGGCCTTGCGTTTGTTTTATTATTTATGGTTGTATATAAGAATAATGGACAGCCTGGACGCACGACCTTTCCTCAACACGGGGGAAATTTTAACAAAAATAAAAATTTGTGTATTGTATTCATGCATGTCCATTGTCTTTTGGTTTGATGATTCATTATTATATCAAGCTATGATTTACTGATGGGGATGGAAACACGTTTCCTGCGTTGCTATTGATGCAAGAGAAGGAAAATTTTCAATATTTTTAAGGTTAGTGATTAATATTTGAGGTTTTACCCAATGTAGAGGAAAAAATTGATTTAATTGTAAAAGTAGGCTGCATTGATAAGATAATATATATAAAATTTTTGAATTGAGATTTGGTTCAAGTAGACTTCAAATAATGATACACAATGTCTAGATTTTTTTTTTATAATGATAGTAATTATTTTTCTTATTTGTAGTGTGAAATGAACTTGCTGCAAAAATTTAATGACTATTATTCCCTTTGAAGAATAAAGATTAAAAAAGGACCGAAGAGGAAAAATATATAATTAATTAAATTAGCCATTAAATTAATTGATTTGATTAACAACATAACAAATTTGATCAAAGTGCACATTCATAAATTTTGGCGGGACCCTAACTAAAAAAAAAAAAAAAAATTAAATTACAAGGAAAAAAGATGCAATTGACAATGAGTATATTTCGGGCCCAGATAATCATTTGTCGCGCACGTTCTGCGCACTTGCGATAAGGATTTTAAGCAGCATATTCAAGTAAAGGCTTGTAAAAACTTTCAACTTTCAATGTTGTTAGAAAAGAAAGTGCAACAATAAAAACTAAATTGCACTGGTCATTGTAAAACAATTTGATTTTTACGCGCAGTCAGCCAAATAAAAAACAATAATTTGTTGCTATTGAATTTTCGCAAGACTTACATTTTCAACGTGACTGAAAGTTAAGAGAGAATTTTAAGATTATTTCTAGAGAGATTCAAAAAGGAGGAAAAAAAAGAATGAAAAATAAATCTAAAATATAGTTATTGTAGAACGATGATTATATCTTATTTGAAATTTAATTTTTTTTAAAGAATAACACGAGGTTGGACAGCAATTGCAAGGAGATACAACCACATGAAATCATACGAAAAGCAATTTTAATGCTTCATGAAAACAAAAATGGTCAATTTAGTTCTTTTAATTTGTTGGAAAAATGATTTTATGCATGAAAAAAATTCAAATGTTTTGATTGCTCAAAACCGAATCTTAATAAAAAAATCAGCCAAAAAGACAGTTCTTTACAAATTAATGATTTTTTTTCACGAGATGCAGAAATAATTATATTTATTTATATATGTATAAAAAAATTCAATATTCCAATGGCGATAAAATGAAGCTTTTCAATCACAAAGCCATATAACCCCCACCAAAAAGGGTGACAATAGGCGCCTGAAAAAAGAATCAAGAAGAGGCGCTGCAGGAATAATTTTCAATTTGAATTATAATTTCCACGCTGGCGGAATGAGCTTGGTTTGCAATTAGTGCGCCGTCGCCTGGCCGGTGCCATTATATATATTTCTCGGCGTAAACTTATCAGGCGAAGGCGGCAGCGGCGGGGGTTTGCGCCGCGCGTTATCACCGCGAGTTGCGGGCCGCGGCAGTCGCGTGCGCGCAACAGGTCGTGTCCTGCGCGCTCTTCCAATTCGCCACCATGGCCACCATGTTGGCCCTTTTCAACTCGGTCACCACCCAGTTCAACTTCGGCAAGTACAGGGACAAATTGAACGTGGACAACGGGGCGCTCAAGCTGCACTACCGCGTCACGGCGCCGCTGCTGTTCGCCTCCAGCATCGTGGTCACCGCGCAACAGTTCATCGGCGACCGCATCGCCTGCATCCAGAGCGCGGGTGCCATCCCTGACAACGTGCTCAACACCTACTGCTATTTCGTTGGTAAGAACACCTGCGCACCAAAGTCAACCCTGAATTTTAAAATTAAGTTGAGCTGATAAAATTAATTAATTTTAAAATAAATATAATAATAATAAAATAAACAGTTTCTTTTAAATAAATAAAATTAAAAAAATTATTATTTTGCTTTAAAAATATTCTTGCGGCCGAATCCGTGGAATGAAGTCAACAACCTTTTTAAATTTATCATGAAAGCAGCACTGCCATGCGCTCTTTTTCCTTCTCCTTTTGCAGAATAAAATAATAATCAATGATCTTTGACCTCCAGAACCAAGTAACCAGGTTGGTTTTGCATTTTATCAATTTATTAGATCATGTTCAGTGTAATTAGCTCGTCGATAAATGAAATCGGAATGCGACTTCTCTCTTATGGCTGATTAAGCAATCTATTTTATCGAAAGCCATAAATTGACTTGGCGACAGCCCTGATGGTGTCGCCTGCCAAAGCATGCTTGATACATAATAATTGCGGTATTTCTAGACCAAACATTTGAATATTTTTCAAATATTCCAATTGGAAGTGCGAAATTGGAATAAAAGCTTCAAGTGGCGTTTCGAAGCCGAGCTTTGTTTTGCTGAGCCTCGGCAAACGAAGGAAGAAGAAAGGCGTCAGCGGTTTCTCATTTGACACGCCGCACTAACTGTACGCATGCAGGCGTTATTCTTGAAGGTGAAGCAATTTAAAACGTACTGCACGCATAAATACACCTCGGTCTATTTTCCACCGAACGAAATTTAATTTCTGTCACAGAATGTTATCAGTTATTTGCTTTGAGCTGTCGCTGTTGACTCACGAAAATGAATTATTCAAATATACTGAAGGGCAGGGAGAGTGAGTGAGTGACCAGCTTATCTTTATTTGAAATTGATTATTCATTTTTTTTTTCATTTGAAAATTACATTAAGTTATAAAATAATCCAAAATCCAAAAATTGGAACAATATGAAGATGAAGACAGCCAGAGAGATAAAACTTTTGTTTTGAAAAACAAGATTATGCATCTATTTCATGAGGCAATTTATATAATAATTACGAAATTCATTTTAAATGGATTGTAAATAAAAATAATCAAGTTAAAGTAATATTTTTTAATCATAAAAATAATAAAGTAAAAGTTATATTTTTAAACATAAAAATTAACCGATCTTATTTTAATTTCGCAATTTATTTATAAATAAGATTGGATTGATAGTTTGAAAGTTCAAATTTGAAGACAATATTTGTAAAAATCAATAAGAAAATTATTATATTTTTTTTTAAATTATTAATTCAGTTTAATTATTGCTTCAAATTAAAAAAAATGGCCGAAAACAGTAATTATAAGAGCTTAAGCGATATAAAATCTGATTTTTTTTTATATTTTTAAAGCATGGTATAATTCTGTTGCAGGGACAACAACATGGAACAACAACACGTCAGACTTTCCGCACAGGGGCATTGGTCCCGAGAGGGACGACGTGATGTCAATACGGCATCTTTACTACCAATGGGTGTCCTATTACCTGTTCTTCCTGTCGTTGCTCTTCTTCTCGGCTCACTTCCTGTGGAAATCGTTCGAGAAGCACCGCCTGGCCCAAATCACGGCTGGATTCGAGTGCGTCAAGTTTGCTGTTCTGAAGGAAAAGCAGGTCGGCAACATCCCCAGCATCGTCCAGCGCGAAGAAAAGATCGACAAGCTGACCCAGATCTTGTGGTCGCGAATCAGGAATGACATGAACAACGACTGGACTTTGAAACTCATCGCCGTTGAGATGTACGCCTTCGTCGTGGTGTTGTTCGTCTTCTGGTTGACGGACGTCTTCCTAGGTGGAGGCGGCAACTTTGTCTCCATGACCGTCGACTCGGCATTCCGCACCTTCCCCACTGAAACCAGCTGCATCTTCTACAAATACGGTCCTTCAGGCAGCATCCAGAAGCACGACGCCCTCTGCATCCTGGCCACCAACATCGTCAACGTCTACATCTTCCTCTTCTTCTACCCCTGGATGTTGATTTTGATCATCATCGGTGCTTTGGCACTCTTGTGGCGTCTGGTGGGAGTTTTCGCCTACCGCAGCGATTGGTTCAACAGGATCACCCCTTTCAACCACATAAACAGCCTGGTTGATGAAGATGCCAGGCGCACCGTCTTCAAGACGCTCAACTACTTTGACTGGGTTTTCCTCAACTACGTGGCTGAGAACGTTGACGGCTCGACTTACCGCGACGTCTTCCTCAACCTGGCCACCACGATCAAGGAAGATCGCAGGGACGAGCTCAACGACGAGGAGAAACCTTTCGCCTCAGATCACGACTGAACATCATCAATTTCACACGACAGTATTCAAAGGAATTGCAAACAGCCATATTTTTTTCCATTATTTTTAGTTTGATTTAAGATAGTATATTTGTAAGATTTATTGTTATTAAACAGACAAATGAAAACAGTTTAAATACCAGAAAATTGAGAAATATCACGGGTAATTTTTTACTTTCTAAATTTAAAATGTGCCGTTTGAAAATTTTTATCCCAAAATCAATTTGTTTATTACTGCCAACTAAAATCATTTTTTTCGAAGAAGGTTTAATAATTTTTTGATAGATTAATTTAATTTAACTTTTAGTCAAGTCAGTGTTTGCTTGCAGGTCTCAAGTGAGAATGATTTTTGTGATTTGCACTGTTTTGCTTGTCAAGAACGTTCAAATTCATCAGACTAATTTATTTCGACCAAAAATCGATCGACTGATTAAGTGTTTTTTCCCTCCAATTGCGGGAAAATGAGTCGTAAGCGTGTGACTGCTGTAGATTTTAGAGTCGGTACAAAATCAAAGATAGTATTTAGAGCTGTACTTAAAATTAATTTACTGATTGTGAGATCAAATATATTGCCTTTTTACGTTGATGAAGAGGCACGCTCGGTTAATGCCAAAATTCGCCGGCCAGTTAATTGAATTGTAATATAAATAATACAAAAAATAATTTGCTAAAAAAATTAATTTGAATTTAATTTTTTTAACCCCAGCCAACACGAATAATTTCTGGCTCGCTTCTCTCATTGTTAATTAATGGGACGCGCGTGCTGATGTTTGGCAACCTGGCCCGTCATTGTAATGAAAAAGGATCGTCCGTCGCTTCCCAAAGCGAGCCAGACAGGGTTTGGCCCGAGGTATGAAAAGGTACGGAGATGCTGCATCACCTGAGAGCGACTCTCACCCCTCCTCCAGTACACATTTCGCTTCTTTTTCATTTCAAGGCTGCTTTGCTTGCATACCTGGGCGTAATGTTCACCTCATTGCCCACCATCGACCGACGATCACTTTTGTCTTTGTAATTTTCTCTGATATATATAAAAAAAAATTCATCAAAGATCCAATGGGTTGGAAAAATTTAAATTATTAATCAATCTTGAAGACTTCCGAGTAGATTAGAGCGTGAGAAATGACACATTTCGGCCGGCGGCGCAAATGCTAATGGAAATAAAAGAGGATAATCTTGTTAGTCTGGAACGCCATTCACGCGAAAGCGTTTCGCTGACAACTCGTCAATGGTCATTTTTATTTACACGTTTTCAACATTTATTATTTTCCTCGCCGTGGTTTATTATTATATTTTCTTCTTTCTCAATGAACAGTCGTGGGGGATGTGCTGTGTTAAGAGATGAATGCGGCCGATAAGGCAGCAGCCCCAGAACACACCACGCCCTCGATCTTCTCGGCCACCCACGAACGCAGATAGATACACTGGAACCCTTTCTCTCTTTCTTTTCTTCTTGTCAGTCACTGAGATGCTTAAACTTGCAGCCGAATCTCGCTCGCCTGCTCACTTACGTGTGACCGACCGGCGCAAGGCAGAATTAATTTGTTTTTTTATTCTTTCAGCGGGCGGGCGAACGGGCGGGGATATTCCTTCAAAGTCACGTTTCAGAATGAGAGTGGCCAATACGGTCCATCACGTTTTTTTCTCACCACGCATTGTTTCCTTAAAGATGTCTGTCACCGACTTACCATAGCAAAAAAGTGCAACTCACACTTTCGACTACACGCCTCATTGTTGGAACGGAAATTCCAAGCCTAAATCTAATAAAATTCTAATATGATGAAATAAATCTGCGCAACAGATATGGAATTTTCATTATAGATTGTTTAAAAAAAAGTGTTGGAAATTTTGAAAATTTGTTATTTGGAAAAATTTATTTGCAGGAAAAATATGCAGAAAATTAGGGATTTTTTTTTTTAAATTTAACAAGCTTGCGGAATCTTCTCTATGAAAAAATAGATCTCCACAATCTCTAATAATACTTTCCAGGTCAAGTTTTGCATGCATTTGAAGTTTTCATTTCTTTTAATCGGGCAGATTTAGAGTAAAATATTAATTTAGAAAATTCCAAAACAATTCATTTTACAAATATTCAATTCTCTCCTTTTATCATTCGTAATGTAATAAATATGATATTGTCACAGCTAGGATTGGAAGCGAAGACAAACGACTCTTTGTGAATGAACGGTGTTTATTTGATAGAGGTGCGAACTCGTGCGTACATCGGCTAACACTGGTCCCTGCCAGTGCAGCTCTCGTGCTTTCCCGGTAATACAGCAATAAGTGTAGGTGGGCGAGCCACGGCGGCTCGCCACCCATGACCGCGACTCTGGTCCTCGCCCTGGGGAGAGTATCGCGGAGCCTGAAGGGCCCGTGATAATATCCCATAAAATTTATTATAATATAACAACCAATAATTAAACTTGTAGAGGGAGCTCATGAAGTATTATACATAATAATCTCTGTTCAACTTACACTTAATCTCGCAAACAAATTTATACACATTTTTGAAAGTACGTATAAATTATGCCATAAATTTTATGTTTAAAGTAAAATTTAAAAAAAAGATACAAAAAATACATTAAAAATATAAAAGCAATAATAAATTAAGAAGAATAAATTTAATAAATAAATAGCATAAAACTGTGAAGTAAAATATTTCATATTAAACAATAAATTTTTTAAATTATTGATAATATGCATATGTGCTTCTGTTCTAATTAAAGTAGAAAAGTGTCTTTGTGTTGCTAAGTGTAAACTTAAAAGCAGTTTCAGGGTTTAACTTTTAAGAGGTTTTAAAGCCAAATAAGCCAATTTTTTCTCGCTCAGTTTCAGGAAACCCACCAGAAACTTTTTAAATTTGTCAACAACCAATTTTTACTTATTTTTTCGTTCCTGGGTCATTTTCTGTAAAAATTTTCGTCCTGGTTGACCGAATTCGGTTTTACTCGTAGTCGATGAAAGCCTCAACTCTTTTTTTTCATATTTTATTTTTAATCCGAGATGCGGCGTCTGCCACTCTGCTCTGCGGGCCGGTCCAGCGGGTTTGATTGTGCGGCGACGAGAGAATCGCGCTGACGATTCGGTCGGTCGCACGGCAACAGGCAGCCAAGCAAGGTGCACGCGCGCGGAGTCTGGAGACCTGGAGAGAGAAAAGAAGCAAGAGATGCTGCGGCGGCGGCGAGAGGCGCGCGTAATGTTCGCTTATTCATCGCGCACATTCCGCGCCGTCTGGCCCGGACCGCCTTTGTTCGCCACATCTGATTAGAGCCCCTAATTAGCCACAAAAAATTAAATTGATCGTTGCGGATGTAAAAATATTGTTTCGAGAGAAAGAGAGCTTGAAATTTCTCACTGTGGTGAAAAGAGTCTTTTTGTACGTCAACCTAATAACTTTATCTTATCTGCTGTGGCTTCACAAAAGACGCCAAGATAATAAAAAAAAGCCACAAGAGGATTTTGGTGGCAAATCCTTGAATTCAACATTCTTCTGTTCTAACACAAATGTTTTATACCAAATTTGAATAATTATTTAAAATTTTCACAAAAAATCGTTTTTTTCTCTCTCATTCGAATCTTTTTTAAATTTATTTAGAAATACCGTGTTAGTTGTTTGTGGAAGAGGATGGAATTGTGCATAATAATGTTTTTGCTTGGAAGCACGCAAGGGGAGGCTGGGAATCAACAGGTCGTTAGTCGCCGCGGGACCACCTGCGCGCCGAGTTTAGTGCTGGTGAGCACCGAATCGAGGCAGCACCACTCAAGCCGCACCGCAAATCGCGAACATCTCTCGCGATTTTCACAAGCAGGTCAATTTTCAAATTAAAAAATATAAGTTTAGACTTGCAACATGTTAAAATTATGCGTTTTTTCCCTATTAATTTATTTTTTAAAACCTGAAACTTTTAATTTTTAAGAAGTGCGCATTGGAAATTTCCAAGAGGTCGATTAGCATGCAGCGGAGGCAATTCTTGTCTGTGAGCAATAAATCTGACAAGCGCGAGTCTTTTTTTTATAACTCGCGGCTGGTGTTGCAGACAGGACACTGACTGTCGTGTTCTCCAACGACCCGTGACCGGCTCTCAGGTTTTCCGTCGGTGAACCCGTTTCCCCTGAGCTATTTAACGACGTCGCTCACTTGGAGATTCAACAATGAGCGGCGGCACCGCGCAAACCCCTTTAAGGAAAATTAATGCAGCCGTGAAAGAGCCAACCTGTTGCTCCGCGGCCAAATTTACATAAACACGTCAAATTATGCAGAAGCTGAGTATAAATTATTTATGATAAACGTGCCGAAAAAATTATTCGTGATTTTTGATAATGTTTTAAAGATTTCTCTTTGGAGGCGAATTTATAATTAAAAACCGAGCCGAATTATATCTTGGCAATAAAACTATTATTTGAAACAATTTTTTCCATTTCCAGCATAATTATGCCATAAAATAGCTAAAACGCTAGTAATTTAGATAATAAAAGATCTAAAAATAAAATTTCTCCGTGAAAAAATGGTATTATTTAACATAAAAAACAAACATATTTAAATAAAAAATGTTAATAAAATTTATTATTGAATATTTTTTATTTATTTTTTTAATAGATTATTATTATTTTTTTTTTAAATTGCACAATTTTTATTTAATTTCCTCATCTTTCCTAGCTCATTTCAACTAAAGAAGAGCATAAATTATTAGAGAGACTGAATTATTATATAAACAAAACCAATAACAAATATTTTATCTAAAATGCACAAATTGCAATTATTAAGAATTTGTTTTTGATAAAAGGCATTATATAGTTTGATTTTGTATCCTAAAATTTATCCTAAATTTAAAATCTTTTGAGCCTTATTGTTAGGTTAAATAAATAGTACTATAAATTCTTGCTAAAATATCCAAATTATCTATTTTGGTGCATTTCTATTGTAAATTTATGTCACCATTAATGATTTTGTACTTTATGTTCCTGTAAATCTTTTCACGAATTCGCAAAGAATACTTTTGCCTCTATTAATTTTATCAATGCCACAAATTTTCTTCTGTGCATTGTTGTTTAGTGTGTTGCATACATTTCCCAAAATTGGAGCGCTACATTTTATCAAATGAAAGGGTTGATCTTTTCTAAACATTTCCATCAGTTGATCTATTTGTTTTTTGTCATTTTTTTTTTTTAAATCGGTGCCTGAAGGTTTTGAAAAAGTTGACCACTTTTGAAAAGACGTAAAGTGTGATTTGAAGGTATCCATCATCGTCCTATAAATTTTGTGATGCGGGCAGCAGGACCTGTGGGAGCAAATAAATCCATCTCTCGAGGCTGCAGGCCGGTGTAAAATTCCTGAGGTGGAGGAACCAGTTTTCCTTCTGCTGCTCCGCAGGGAATATAAATTATAGGCTTCACCGATCGCGCGCGAGACAGGGTGTTTTTGTCCAGAGAAAGATTTTCTACTCGCTGCACTTCTTGAGGGGAAAGAAGAAGAAGAAGAAGAAAAGCGCAGAGGTGCAGAAAATTTCCCCACGGCAAGGAGAAAAATAACAAGACCAGAGGACAATGCGAGCCCTTGTTGCTTTTCTTGGAAAGGCTCCCACGGCGGGCGGCCACGGAGGGGAAAACCAAAATGCACATCAGCAACCCCCACAGCATGTTCTTCTTTGGAGTAAATAGAA